AACTTTTCATATCTCTGGTTGTATATAAAATATGTTGACACCAATTCATGTCTTCATACATATTCTTTGGATAATGATGTTTATCACATTCCACCTGCCTTGCTAATCCCCTTCCCTCTTCCTTTCCTTCCCACCCCTCCATCCCATCTAGAATTCATCTATTCCTCCCATGTTCTACTTCCCTACCCACTATGAGTCAGTTTCCTTATGTATCAGAGAAAACATTCCACATTTGTTTTTTTTGGGGGGGATTGGCTAACTTCAATTGGCATTATCTTCTCCAACACCATCCATTTACCTGCAAATGCCATGATTTTATTCTCTTTTATTGTTGAGTAAAATTCCATTGTGTACATATGCCACATTTCCGTTCAAGGATGATGCCTTACTTTAATTAGAAAGGTTCAGGGGTTTTAAATATCTAATAGAAAACCTCTCATCTAGTAAAAAAATCAGTTTAAAAATGTATCCACAGGTTTTATCTAAGATGTCAAGAATAGTTTGGCAATCCTATAAATAATGCTTTGTATAATTAGAAAATTGTGAATCTAGGAATAACTTTTCAAAATAAATTGTGAAGAATTGCACAAATTTGTTCTTCAATGAAATAAACCACAGTTTTTTATAAAGATTTATTATAAAGGTAAAGATTATATATTCAAAATTAAAATTAAAAACTATATATTTAAGTCTCATCCAGGCTTGGTGGCACACACCTGTAATTCCAGTGGCTCAGGGGGCTGAGGCAGGAAGATCAAGTTTCAAAGCCAGCCTCAGCAACTTTGTGAGGCCCTAAGCAACTCAGTAAGACAGACCCTGTCTCTAAATAATATTTTTTAAGAGTCTGTGGATGTGGCTCAGTGGTAAAGTGTCCTTGGGTTCAATCCCTGATACAAAAAAAAAAAAAAATTAAGTCTCTAGATATTGTCCTAAGGTCATATGGTTAATGATGTAATATTTTTGAAAACCTACTAAATCTCAGTAAGAACAGCAAGTCTGTGATATTAATATGAGCCACAACCTTTTCCTTTCACCACTTCCTACTTATTGTGACACAGCTCTACTCTGAGTGAGTGGATCCAGCTACATTAAAAAAGAAATAAGTTGGACTCCCCCCACCACCACATTATATACAAAAAGTAACTCAAAATGGACCAAAGAATGAAATATAAGAAATGAAAGTATAAAACTCTTAGAAGAAGCCTTGGGTTATACAAAACTTCCTGAGCTATGACACCGAAAAGATAAGCAACCAAAGAAAAAATGGATTGAATCTCAAAATTAAAACCATTTTTATTTTAAGAATGTCATCAAGAAAGTGAAAACAAGTAATCCACTTAAAAATTTTTTCAAGTTCTATATGATAAGGGATATAAATCTAAAATATATAGAGAAATCTTACAACTGAAAAAATATAAAGACAACCCCATTACAAAATGGTAAAAGGGCTGAAATGTAAAGCAAAACAAACTGAAATGTCAATTCACACTAGGATAATTTTTTTTATTAAAAAGATAAGTATTGACAAGGATGTGGACAAATTGGAATCTTTATATGTTTCAGTAGGCATGTAAAATAGTGCAGTGCAGCTACTTTGGGAAACATTTGGCAGTTCCACAAGAAGTTGAACACGGAGACATCATATGTGCCAGCTATTCCACTCCTTGATACATGTCCAAGAGTTGTGAAAATACTTGTCTATATGTACACAAATGATTGCCTTAACAGTAATTATAACATATAAAAATTAGAAAAAACCCAAGTGCCCATGGTAAATAAATGATTAATGGATAAAATGTGGTATATTCATACAATGTAATGCTATTTGTTGTAAAAACAAATAAAGTGCTCTTATATGCAATAGTATATATGAATTTTCAAAACATGGTAAGTGGAAGAAGTCATTCACCAAAGATCAGATGTTATATGATTCCATTAAAAATAGATATCCAGAATCAGGAAAATACATTGGCAATTTTGTATAGCTGTGAGATTGGGAGAAAAATGATAAGTAACTGCTAATAAGCATGTATTTGTTTTTTGGAGTAATCAAATATTTTAAAATTGATCATTGAGATGTTTGCACAACTCTGTTAATATACTAAAAACCACTGGGAAAAAATGATGAATTTTACACTTAAAATGAAAAATTATATGACATGAATTATATTGCAATACAGCTTTATAAAAATGTGACCCTAACATTTACTGTTTTGATTAATCACTAAGTATTTTCTTTACCACTAATGACAATTCTTGGGAATATATATTGAGAATTAACTAAGACCTTTATGCTTAAATTCATGTTTTGCTTTCAGTTATTTACTAGTCCTTTCAAGAAGAAAATGCAAACCAAAACTACATTAAGTTTTCATCTTACTCCAGTAAGAACTGAATTCATCAAATAATACAGATAATAATAAATGCTAGTGAGGACAGGGATAGGGAACATTTTTATACTGTTGGGATCATAAATTATTACAACTATTATGGTAGTCAGTGTGGAGGTTTCTCAAAAGACTAAGATAAAACCACCAAATGACCCAACTCTATTACTTTTTCAGTATTTATCCAAATGAATTTCAGTCAACATGCTATAATAATATATCATATCCATATCCAGCACAATTCACTTTAGCCAAGCTATGGAACCATCCTAGGTGGTTAAAATGGAGGTTTATTCTGTCTTAAATGAATGACATTATGTCATTTTCAGGAAAATTAATGGAAATTCATAGAATTATATTAAATGAAATAAATCAGATGCAGAAAGTCAAAAGTTGTATGTTTTCTCTTACATGTGGAAACCAGAAAAAATCTGGGGAAATAAAGAGGGGGAGAATCTCATAAATATAGAGGAAAGACCAGTAGAGAAGAGGAAGGAGATTGAGGGAGGAGGAAGAGGGAGAAAGGGTACTGGTGAATTAAATTGACCAAATTATATACAAAGTATGTACATGTATGAATATGTCACAATGAATCCTGTTATTATGCACAATTTTAATGTACCAATGAAACATTTTTAAAAATAGTGGTATATTCTTTAATAGTCCAAAGATGTAAGAAGCAACATTTTCAATAAACATTTTTAATTACTACCACATTTTACCACGCATTTGAATCCATATCATTCCAATATGGATCCCAGTGGCATTTTTTCTAATACTCTGTGTGTTAGTTTTCTATTACTGCTACAACAAATTATCACAAACCAAATGACCTCAATGATTCTGGTTTATTATTCTGTTCTATAGGTTGCAAATTTGACACAGATATCTTTGGGTTAAGGTGTTGGCAGGCTACATTTCTCCTGGATTCTCTGGGAGTTGATTTCTTGGGTCATATCATCTGACCTTCTATTGTTGTGTTTCTTTTCCTGGTTCTCTTCTACTTTCTAAGATTCTTTTTGATTACTTTGGACCTACAGGAATAACCCATGACAATCTGCCAGTTTTAAGGTTAGTTGATTAGCAAACTTAATTCCATCTTCAACCTTAATTTTCCTAGCATATTATACAGCATATGTGGAGGGTTTTGAGATCAGGACAGCTTTGGGTGGGGGAACATTATTCTCATACCATAATTTTCTCCTGGTAGTATGGTATATAAATCAAAGTAAATGAAGACAGCTCTTTGGGTTCACGGTAATTTGATAATCAGTAAAGGAGATGTGTCTTTAGAGTAATAAATTTCATATAATAAATTTTAGCCTGGGTAAAAGGTAGGCCATTATTTTGTAAAGCAGAGAAAATGATATTGTGAACTGAGGCCTGTTTTCATGAAAACCAAATATAGTGGAGAAATTTACATGAAAGGTGAGGATCTGGAATAGGATTGATTGCATTTGAACTATTGGAATGGCATGCCCAGCAAACAACTTACCATAATCCAGTGTTTTAATTGGATGGTCATTGATTTAGGTCAGTGGTTTCCACACTTGGCTGTTTTCTTAGTTACTGGAGACATTTAAAATGGGTATCATATTTCCAGGCTTTAATCCAGACTGCCAAATCAGAAGCTCAGAAAGCAAAGACCCCAAAAGTATTTTGCATAATTTCTTTAGGTGATTCTGATCATTAGCCAGATTTGATAAAAATTGATTTAGAGAACAGAAGGAACTTGATTTATAATCACAGAAAATCCATGTGTTAGCTAGTTGGGATTAGTTTTCAAAGCTAAAGTGCATTTAAGTAAGACTTAGAGTCTTGGGCACTGTAATCAGTGTCCAGCCAGTAGATAGATCTTGTAGTTTTCATTCTTTCATTTCCAGGTTATATCTGCCAGCTGCAAAAACCTAGACTCATTGGATCTTTTTCTTTTTTTTTTTTTTTTTGGATATAATCTGCCATTATTTTAAGTTCTTTCTTTTTATGAGTCAACCTTTGTTAGGTATTGTAATCTGATAAGCAAATTTTTCTTATTTTACAGATCTAATATATGATTACAATAACAATTATGATCAATTTACATTTGAAGATGCGGAATTACATCCCAGTAAACCTTTGTTTTAAATTTTTTAGTTTTAAGTTGAAGATTCATTTAATATACTCTATCTACCATATATCATAACTTTGCCACACCGTATATGGTGGAGTGTCAGTGGGTTCACCCGGTGATTGCATTGCTGGCTGGGAGCTGTGAGTTGCTATCACTTAAAAAAAGTATCTACTGCTTACTGTTAACCTTGGAAAAAATATCAAAATTTGATGTATGGTTTCTACTGAATTTCTATTTCTTTTACACCATTGTAAAGTTGAACCATCGTGTCGGGACTGCCTGTATGGCCAAAAGTTCTGATGTACCAAATGGCCATTTACAGTCTATGAAGTGGCACCCTTTTTCATGAGTTGTGGGCAAACTTTTGATATTTATTTTAAAATGGTTTAATCATCTTTCTAAAATTAAAAATATATTTTAACATGAAAGCACTGGTTTGTCATGGAATATACTTACCATAAGAGATGTCTTGAAGAGGCTGAAAATATTAATTTTCTCTGTAGATACCACACTACAGAAAGAAAGTCAGGAAGGAGTTCCACCGGTGAACCACAGTCAGGAACCTCTGAAACCTCAGGATAACATAACACGACCCATTCATCATCCTTTAGTTTTAAAAACTAACTTTGAGGATGAAGAGGAGGAAGGAGAGGAACAAAATGGTTAGTAAACCTTTCATCAGATTATAATGCACATTAAAAAACTGGCAGTATTTTTACATAGTTGTTTGGCTACCAGAGGCTTATGATGTAATAATATATAGGGCAGATTTTTGATGAGGAACTCATTTTGATTTTATTAAATAAATAATTATGTTCTGATTTGTTCATGTCTGCATATGTTTGTGATCATTTGGATTGGAAAGTTGTGCTGCATGATGACTGGAAGATTTCGTGTTTATGTGCAGATGCTTGAAGAGATGCAAATGACCTCTCACATTCATATATAACAACTGTTGCAAAACTCATTGATTACATGTGTGTCATCTGTCCATCTGCATATCTATTAATCATCTATTTGTCTTACAAAGAACCCTTGGCATTATGAAAATCTATAGAGTAGTTTATAATATATGATGCATTATCATCTGCATTATCCCAGGGGATCCTCACAAGAGTATGAAGAGGATAAGGACACAGGTCTACCTTTCCTCTTTTCCTCTCTCTCTCTGTTTTTTTATATGGTGCTGGTGATTGAACCCAAGGCTTTGTGCATGAGAGGCAGGCACTCTACCAACTGAGCTATATATCCCCAGCCTCTGCCTTCCCTCTCATAAAACCACAGCACAGTGGTGTCTGTCAGTATGTACATCCAAGAGAGACATGTAGGAAAATAAACTTCACTCTGTCTCTTCCCTGGAACATGTCCTTCTATGGGTTACAGGCCACCACTGCCCTTGTGCTTAGGAATGCACAACTATTATTTTTAGCACGTTACATTTCCACATCTATCATCGTACATTTTCCTCCAGATACCATCTCAATGTGTGATTCTGTGACTTCAGCTTCTTATATATGGTTAGTCATATAGTTTTGTCTTGACTGATTCTAATATTTAAAATGATAACAATTAGAAACATTTATGAGTATGTGAATTTCTTGATTTTAAAAGCTAAAAAAAATAATCCATCCATGAAAACAATATTTGGGATTTTTCTTTCTGATTTACAAATTTTCAGATTATTTGGATTTGGGACAATTTAATTTAAAAAAAATATATCCTATAGATGCTTCTAGTTTATGGACAAAGACTCCTGAAGAAATTGAAGAAAAAAGAGCAATAAAGGAGATGTGTTATAAATCTGGTAAGAAATCAAACATTTGTGGATTTTTCAGGACTTGATATGATGCACATACTAACCATTCTTTTCTTATGGGAGATTAGGTGAATACTATAGATTTCATACTCCTCCAGATATTTCATCATCAAAAAGCATAGCTCCTACAGTGGAAAAAGAGCTAGAAAAACCTTTGGAAAATGGCAGTGGATTGCAGGAAGGTAAGAAATGAAAAGGCAACATTAAAAGTGACTTGTGTGTGATAGAAAGTAAATTATTTAGTATAATATATACTAAGTGATAAATAATGCATCAGATTTGAGAGTGGAAAGGAAGTGTTTTTTACTCACTGACCCAAATTTTCTATGAAAAGCTGCTATTAATGTAATGATATTTTCCTGTAGGAGCCACAGAATAGATAGACTTCATAAACACATGGTGACACTACACACCTCATGCAGTAATCCTGTGAGCCATTGGCTTTTACAATCTTATTTGTGAAATAACTTTCCCTGTGAAATAGGTCTAGATTTTTTTCTAAACAGAAAAAGATAACCAAGTTCCAAGAAAGTCAAAAAAGGGCATCACAGAATAATAGGGTGACAGAGCAAGGCATATTATTTATTAAATGAATATGTTCTATATACCAAACAATTTTAGTACAATTCTGGTGGGCAGAATTCTTAGGTTCTGTCTTTCATGGAGCTTTTCCTTTGGTGTGGTGAAGCTGACTTTGCTATTATTTAATGTTTTCCCCTTGAAGCAGGATAAGAAGAGCATTATGTTCTGGATACAAAACCAGGAACTCAGAGAAATCCATGAATGTCATGTATTTACATGGTTCTTTTGCATTTGCATTTAGGGTAAGCTTAAAAACACATTTTGTAGGAGTAGGAGAGAAGTGAGAGAAGTGAATGCCTCCCTGTTCCTGTGGGGGAAGAGAAAGAGAAGAGAGAGAGAGAGGAGAGAGAGGAAGAGAAAGAGAGGTACAGAGAGAGAGAGGTGTGTATGTGGTAATGTCTAAGGATCAAGATGACTCTAAGAAAGTACAGGATAAACTACCTACTTGCTAATCTGTAAGGGGCAAACTATTTGAAAATATGGCAGTAGGTGGCAGCAATGAACCATCAAACAGATGGCAGAATATGGGAAATATCTGAGGAGGAACAGATTGCAGTCCTGCACTTCAGACAAGAAAAAAAAAAACAAGTTAGCAATAAATATTAAAAATCCACTTATATGTATTTTGCTTTGTTTTATGATTTAAAAGATTTTTTAATTTTTAAAATAGTTTTAGCTAATCCTTATGCATAAACATTATGTATACACAATAGTGTTAATTTATTTAAATTTTTTAAATTGCCATTTGATTAGTAATACAAATAGGATAATTAATTTGTTTGATGCTTTGTTGACAGTTACAATGTTTGCTTAAAACTTGTGTATTTATATATTTTTCACTAGATTACCATGTAAACAACGAATTGTATTAGCTTTTTTTTTTTTTTTTTTTTTTTTTTGAGGTGCCGGGGATTGAACCCAAGGCCTTGTACATGAGATGCATGCACCTCTACCAACTGAGCTATATCCCCAGCCCTGTGTTAGATTTGAATCTATTTACTTTCATCATGAATTCTATCATTGACTTCTTACTTACTCACCTACTGGTTCCTGGAGTGACTATTTCTTTTCCTCCTTGTTTCTAGGGGATGGTCTTACAGTTCCAACAAAATTTAGCCTATTTGAAAGGCAAGGTGAGATCAAAACATCATTGGATAGGAAACCAAGGACTGACATTGCTACTCTAGAAAATGGAGGTGAGTTAATTTGTAACTAGATGATTCTGAATATATTATCACCAAAGGAAATTTTGTGTCATTTTGTTTTTTGGTCTTTTTCATGTGTAATGCAGGGTGTTGGAGGTAACATTTGAAAATCAAATGCTTTCAAAGTCTTGTATCTCTAACAAATGTCTCTAGGAATTTATATTCATTGTGCAAGATATTCATTTTTTTGTATTTTCATTAGAACTGATTTTGTGTGTGTGTGTGTGTTCAACTTCTGGCTATAACGAATTCAGATATTAAGCATGTTGAACAACCATTAAAAGCAATAAGCTGGTTGAACAACCATTCCAAAAGAATGTTAACTGTAAATGAAGAGTACAAAATTAAGCATGTGCAATATTATCATAGAACTATAAACACAAGAGGGCCCTAATAAATCCTTTGAGTTAGGCTATGTCAAGACAGATGTATTTAAATATACATATGTATTTTATTTGTGCCAAGGCATCACATCCTAATTGTGTACTGTAACTTAAACATTTTGAAACCTGCCTTTTAGCATAAGCATTTCAGAAAATCCTTCCTCTGACAGAAAATTCTAAGCTTTAACAAAAAGATACAGAGATTTTTGGATAAGGAAAGAAGTTTGTAGCTGGGAGGAAGAATGTGTGAGGGAACAGGAAGGAGTTTAGAAGGTACTGGTAAGGACCAGTGCATCTGAAGCGCATTGGTGATATTTTCTGCAGTTCCAGCTTCAGACATTTTTAGTCATTTTCTTCTGTCAATTCTTTTTTTCCTGGTGCCAACACAGTTTGATTCTTTCCTTTCTTATGTCTGCAATAGTTTCAGTCTAAAAATTTCATTTGGGTTTCTTGAAGCAATAAGATTTAACTGTAAATGAAGAGTACAAAATTCGGACCCACTGCATCCAATCAGCTTTAGTTGTACATTTTGGTGAAATAATATTAAATCATATGACACTTTTTATTAAAAGGTTATTTTTTACTACTAGTAATGTGATGTTTTCACATAAAAAATAAACTTTCCTTTATGTTGTGACTCCAGAAATGTATTTCCTACTTAATTGGGTCTTAGAAAATGTGAGACTGTCATTGTACTTTTATTACTCTGTTTAATAATAATAATGTGAGAGCAATAATCGATTGAACAACCATTCCAAAAGAATGTTAAGATTCTGTCATTTGGGATAATGGGTTTCCTCATTTCAGGATATTCTTTATTTTTATTTTATTTTTTTAGTTGTTGATAGGCCTTTATTTGTTTTTTAAATGGTGCTGAGAATCAAACCCAGTGCTTCACACATGCCAGGCAAGTGCACTACCATTGAGCCTCAGCCCAAGCCCTGTCATAGTCAGACCTGTTGATTCTTTAAGCATTATAATGGTCTGTGTGTTCCCAGACAGAAGAATCTCCTGGGTATTGAGAACAACATAAACCTATTTAAGCCTCCAAATTGATAAAATATTCTTCAGAGAAAGAGGATAAAAATTTAAAGTTATGACTGATTAGTCAATATTCAATTTGAAGGAAAACACTTTAGTCTTATTATTTTAATGTTTTATTGAGCTTTGAATTTAATAAAGTGTGTAACTCTACTGGTATATAGCTCAATAAAATTTTACATGCATATGCATCCATATATAACCATATTTGTGGTACTACAGAGAGCTTCTCCTTTCCAAGTCAAGGGTCCCCTCTTAAGTGTAAATACTAATCTGATGTCAGTACCATAGGTTAATTTTGCATTCCTGACCTTTACAGAAGTTGAAATGTACAGCTTATACTCTTTTAGTTTGAATTCTTTTATTTATCACTAGTTGTATGAGGCTGATCTATGTTGCTCATTATTACAGTAGCTCTTTTACACTGCTGTGTAAATTTCTATATGTATGCAGATGTGTGTATGTGGGTGTATATACACACATATGTGTGTGTATGTGAATGTATATAATGAGAGATAATATGTATACATATACATATATAACATATTATATGTGCATATACACACAGACACACTGTCAATACACACATACATGCAGTTGATTATTATTATGCATATAGTTATATTCTATAAAGTTGACATGAACACTGAATTAGTGAATATTAAACCACTACTTCTAGGGGAAATGTGTATACACATGTGTGCACACACACATATACACATATGTATCTTTCATGGATTAAAATAATTTCTATTAAGTTATAGAAATAACTCATGCTGGTGGAGTCTATTTTCTTTTTTTTTTAATCAAATGGAAAACAAAGTTCAGAAGCATTAGGTGACCCTTCTGAGACTGTCCTCACTAAAAGGTGTTGGAACTGGAATTCAAATCCCCCCACCTGCCCTAGAGCTAAATTCTTGTCCATGATGTGCTGTGCCCCCTAATGCCTCCATCCTCCATTCATCTCTGCATGAAAACTAAAACAAAAAGGCTTAGCCTAAAAGCTTATTAGACCTCATCTAGGAATGTGTGGGTCCCATAACAAATTCTTTTACCTCTCTACTTGTGTTTGTGAAAAACTATGAAAGTCCCAAGAGTACCGATAATAGGGCTCTGCTGGAAATATTTTCCAGTGTGTGGTTTCTGTGGACATTCATTCGTTTACATGTCTTCTAAAGGCATATGCACTCATTTTGTGTGTGTGTTGGGGGAGAAGACTTGCTCTATATCCTTACCAACACTTAGTAGTTTCAGATTTTAGCTACTTTGGTGGTTTGTCAGTGATCTCACATTGTGATTTTAATTTGGATTTCCCTGATTGTTAATAATGTTGAACACATGTTCGTGGATTTATTGTCCATTTTGACTTCTTCTTTTACCAAGTTGTATTTCTAACATCTCTAGCCCACTTAAAAGTATCATTTTCTTGTTGATTTCACTGGGTAAATTTGGATCCTTTCTGCCAACTTCTTTTTGTTTATTTTTTTAATTGTACATTTATTTTATTTATTTTTACGTGGTGCTGAGGATTGAACTCAGTGCCTCACACGTGTGAGGCAAGTGCTCTATCCCTGAGCCCCAGCCCCAGCCCCTCTGCCAACTTCTTGTCCTGCTTAGTAATCCTGTACATCTCTGCTTTTAACTCCATGTATTAAATTTCTACTTTCTATTTGATAATTGTGTGAATTGTCTGATTAAATTCCCCATCAGTCATTTTTGGATATTAGTCATTATTTTTTCTAACTTTCTGTTGTTCCCTATTAGGAGGATATACTTCATCTTCTGGTTTTGGGCCAATTGTTCTGTTTCTTAATGTACATTCTACTTTTAATTACATGTTGAACATTGTGGATAATAATGATATGTAGAGTATGAATGAGGTTGTTTTCCCACAGGGAAACTCTCCCCCCCCACCCCCGCAGGCAGCTAACTATGAATGAGCAGGCCACCTCAATTATGTCATGGTTTGCTTTTAGGCTTTATCAGGAATGATGTGTAGTAGATTATGTAGTATTTACTTTTTCTTTTGAGATAAGATCCTTATTCCGAGGGCAAGACTTTTATTCCTAAAACATTACTTTTCTGGGTTTGTAATGAGAGCCTCCATATTTGCCAAGATCTCTCTACTCTAGGGAAGCTTGAACTCCAAATTTTGCCTCCAAAGTACTATGCAGTTGCCAACATCTCTGACCAGTTCATTAGCCTCCTGGATGCTCATTTGCTAGTTTTCTGGGGTCCCACTTTGTGTATGGAAAGCATGGAGTGTGTGTTTTTCAGGGGTGCTTCTTTGCTCTTTTTACCTTTGTCAGACTTCCCCCCAGGTTGAAGCCACTGTGCCACCTGAACTTTGGACTCTTTCTCTTTAGTAGTTGGTTAGTCACTTTCTTCTTGGAATGTATTTTCCTGCATAATGAATTAGAAATACCTTCATGGAAAAAGAGAAGAAAACCAGGTCAAGGAGATGTGAAATTTACATGTGTGCCTCTGTTGCTCTCAGACATTACAGTTCTGTGCAGTGGGTTGTTTTCCAATCTGTTGGATATTTTGCAATTGCTTTTGGCAGGAAAGTTCTTCTTATACAAGCTATTTGCTCATGGAAGAAACCAGATTCTGTTCTGAAATTTTTATCATTGTTTTGGTGTAAGCTTCATGAGGCCAGTAACCAAGTATAATCAATTACCACAGATAATTTTTTGAAGCAGAATATCTGGCACATGGTGTGAATTCAGAAAATACTTATATAATAAATGATTGTATGTTTAAATGTATTAAATATATTGAGTGACTGGGTTAACGGAGACATGTTTGGAAAACTTGCAGATGCTGGAAGTTAATATGCTAGAACAATGAGGCAAATCTTTCAAACAAGCAGTGATAAACAAAATCTTACATTTAGGTTCAAGAAAGACCTTAATGGTGACTTAAAATTGGGGAAGACCTGACATGATACAGTTTGTGAGGGGATAAAAGTGATTTTTTTGCCCTCAATGTTTCAAAAAAATTCAGTAATGTGTTTTCCACTATCAAATAGCTAAGGTAAGTCCACACTGAATTATTAAGAGTAGTATAGAAATATAATTAAATGTGATGAGTCATTGAAAGTACTCAGTGGAGGGTCTGACACATAGAAAAATGCTCCATAAATATCAGCTGTTATTCTATTACTTCCACTGGTTTTTCCACAGGTTAGTCCAGATATGGGTGTTATTTTTAAAGAAGGTTATTTGAAATAAATCTTTGATTTTAAGAAAGGGTAACTTGTGTGGTGAAGGATCTGAAAATTTTGTATGTAAGTAATATTTAAAGCAACTATGGGTATTTACTCTGAGTAGCTGTAAAAGATTGTTATAAGTTAAAGGGGAATTAATTTTGTGGAATATGTACATTGTATTGCAATTTTCTATATGTAAGTTTGTATATCGGGTATTCAGTTATACCTACACATTAATACTTATGTATTCATGTAAGCATTTTTGATACATTTAGAGAATAGGGATGGCATCACTGAAGTATTTAAACAAAAGCAAACAAAGGGATATTGTGGAGGATATTCTTGTGTTGAAAGGTAGCTTTGTATCACTTTTTGCCATTTGTTGCTTCTGACAGTAAGTTTTTGTCTTAGGAGGTGACTGTTATGTTCCACAAAGGATCATATTTCTTGGAGTAGATGAAAGTGAAGCTTTAAGTGAAGAGAAGGAAATCACCACACCAAAATGTTCAAATAATAAAGGTAATGAATCATTCAGTAATATTGACCCATTTGTAATTTGGATAGGTAAATTAAACATAAAGCTTGATTGTTATAGAAACACCAGTATAAGAGGGGAAAGTAATAAATCACAGTATCCACTGAGTAGGAATGAGGTTCCAGTCCTGGCTCCGTCCCTAATTGTTTAACCTTGGAATTTAAACATTTTTAGCCTCAATTTCCTACTCTAAAAAATTAGCCTGTTGGGCTACATAATTTTTAGGAGCCTTGCTAGCTCTAAAGTTATTGATTATCTTAGAATATAATACCACATCCCTTTTCAGTTTTCTTTTCCCAACTATTAGCAGAATGACTGAATTTTTTTTTGAGTGTGATCACTGCCAACTGTAGTTTATAAATATTTGAGAGAAACAACAAAATCTATCCTCAGTAGTTCTATGCTGCTTTTACTGTACTTGGGAGCCTCTCTGCTTGAGCACCTTTCTTAGACCCAGCCAAAATGTACCACTAACCTCAAATTAGAGGGATTCACATTTTCTATAATTATTATAAAATGTAAACCCATTTCATCTACTTTTTTTGCTGACTATTAAATATCCTCAAGCATAAAGTTTTTTGTGTTAAAATATTTTAATGAAAAGTCATGTTAATCTCTTTACCTTTCTGATCAGAGTTGGAAAAGTTTTGTCCAATTTATCAAAGAAACTCTTTAAAAACTATACTAATATGGGAGGCATCAGTTATATATGACTGTTTACATTTAAATTAATTAAATTTAAAAAGATTAAAAATTCAGTTTTCAGTTACATTTCAAGTGTTTAGTAGCCACATGTAGCTAGTGGCTACCATATTGAACATCATAGATTCAGAACATTTTTGTCATTGTAGAGATCTAATTGGATAGTCCCACTCCAAAGCATAGAGCAAATAAAAGTTGTTACATTTAAATTATTTTTTCAGAAAGTCAATTATAAATGGACCCACTTGTAAAATTAACAACCTTTTAATTCTTTTGCATGAAAACATTAAAATTATTGCCACTATTATGTTATTTATGTATGGAAGAATAATGCATGTCATTCCAGAGTTTTATCAGTAATATTTGAGGTACAGTCTGGCAACTAGGAAATTTTAATGACACTTTCTAAAAATTAATATACATTTATATTTCTAAGGAGGTATGCCCATATAATGTTTGAAAACTGAAATACCAACTGAAATGCTTCTTTTACTAATATTGACATTTTATTTTTTTAATTTGCTTTAAAAGATAACAAGGACAGTCCTCATCCAAAGCGTTCCCTAACTACCCGACTAGTACCTACAACGCATGTATTAAATGCTACTGAGAATATCAGTATGAAGTGCAGAGAGGACCCCTCTTCAAGTGAGCTCTATCACTTTTAGGCCTTAAATATATGTGTCTTAGTGTGGATTTGTTTTGCTTATTTGAAATAGAATTTTAAAAAGAAAAAAAGAGATGGTTTGAAAATTATCCAGGACTGAGAATTAAGGACAAAGTATTCCTGTATTAATTCTAACAATGAATCGTGAAGTAGGTCCTAGTAAATTTTATGCTTTCCCACTAGTTTAATATAGACATTAAAATAATAACATACTACTTTCAGAAGATTCACTAGTATATAACATTTACAATTTTCCATGTAGGGAAATATATTGGCAATACATTGGGTTTTGGATTGTTTTTCCTGATTTTGTTTATTCTTGCTATTCAATACTCTGAACTATTTCTCTTTATACATTAAGACTTGTGAATCTTCCTGATTCCTTTCTTGTTTCCTTCTGGCCCTTATTTCATTTCTTGAACCCCTAAAATAATTATGGTTTCCAGTGAGACACTGAAGGGGAACAATTATGCCTTTTCCCAGGAAACCATGTTTGGTGTAGTGGCACTTGTTAAAAATACAATTTCTAATTCCCAGGCCTGAGAGTTTGGAAACAGAGGCAGGACATGATATTGAGGAGGAGGCAGTGAATCAGAGCTTCATTGAGGGCTTAAAACTTAAACTGAGGTCGAGAGCTAGGGCAAAGACAGGTTTATCAGTCTACTGTAGAGAGCAAGTGTAATCTACACAGTGTGATTGACATTCATTTCCTTTGCTCAGTAGACACTTGTGAATAACAGAATATCTCCATCTACAAAATGATTGTAAGCTTCCTGGAAATATTTAACTTAGAAATTCCTGAAAAATTAAAAACTCATATAAAACTTTGATGTAAAAAGATGCAAGTAAAAAGTGAAAATTTTATGAATTTAGTATTACAGATTCTGATTTTTCAGTAGTTTGACCAAATCCCTTGTATACTCAACTTCTTAAGACTTTAAAAGGCTTTTGGACTAAAAGAATACAAAAAGATTTATGTTGGAAAAATTACTTAAAAATACTTAAAAAATTACTTAAAAATGAAATTTATAGTTATATTTGGGATGCATTTTTATGTTCTTTTAAAAGAATCCACACAGGCCTTAGGAAGGAAGCTTTTATTTTTATTTTTATTTTTTTTAAGGAAAGCTGCTTGTTGAAGATTTTGTCATCCATTTACAAGATAGTTTGCTTTGTGTCACTTAACAGTAAATATCACCCTTTGTTTTAAAAAGTAAAGTATTGGGGTAGTCCATTTTTTTTTCTTGCTTGGTTTTTGACTGCACAGATATCTAATTAACACCTACAGTGACTTTCACATGAAACAATCTCTTTAAAAACTGTAAAAATTTGTATCTTCTCTAAGTGAATGATGTCCAGCCAGTGAGGAAGCCTCATTTTAAAGGTGTGAAAAAAAGAAAATGGATTTATGATGAACCAAAGAACTTTCCTGGCTCTGGAATGCGGAGAGGTAAAGGGTCAATATATTTCATGTTTCTAAATTGTCATTTAAAAAGTGGTTAGATATCAAATATGTTCTTTGTGGAAAACAGCTTACTGTCATGTACCATAAATGTTAGACATCAACCTAACTCCTCTAAACTTAATTCTTTTAGCTTGTGTTGCCTTCCATTATACTATCAAATACTAAAAGTACAATATACTTTTTACAGATGTGAAGCCAGTTTTATCCCTCACTTTTGTTTTATAGCTGTACAGGTCCCAAATCCCAAAAATAAAATGAGTTACCATCATAATAATAAAAACCGAAATGCTGAGAATTCAGCTTATATCCACGTGCAAAGAGATACTGTCAGGACTGTCCCACTGAATGCACCGCCCCGCAGCAGACCCCCGAATGGATCCTACCATAAAGCTGATGTTAACAAGGAACCCAAACTCAACCTCTGTTCAGGTGAGGCTCTTGACTGATGTGGTTTACTGTGTCTGTGATTGCATTCCCATGGAATTTCCTGATGGATTGGCTAATCCTCACTACTATACCCCATCCTCCTCTTCTTTTTCTGGGTTGTCATCATAACATGTGAAGGAGAGGGAGGATTTCTTCCCTGTGCAGTGATGCACATGATTTAAAGGCTATGGAAGAAAACTCACGTTGGGTGCAGATGACTTGACATGGTACCTCCCTAGAGTTATGCCTCAGAACACTGTACTTTGTTCCCCCTGGACAGCTTCATTTCACCAGGGGGGATTGTTTTTTAATGGTTGACATTTTCTTGTTCCACTAACTGCATTGTTCAGTTATCACTGTCAGGCTATTCTTTAGGCCTTCATGATTACTTTCTGAAAGGGTTACTTTGGGGGTTAACTGCAATATTGTTGACAACCTCTCATCTCTCCCACCATGCACAGATTGCTTCTAAATCATTTCATCATGTAATAAGCAAAGTCATAGTGTATGTCAGGAAGAACAAGGCCACAGGGGATAGAGAACCAAATCTCTTTTCTCCCTGTCTCAGAGGAATTTTGCTGTTTTGAAGTTGGGTTTCATTTATCTCAATGTAACAAAAAATGCCACTTAAAATTCTTTAATTTCATGTTTCTGTCTTTCCATGTTCACAGTGTCGTTGGTGAAGTTTCAAATGTTATATACTTTCGAAAATCTTAGACTCTTAGATTCTTCAACAACTTAAATAAGAAGTTAGCTTTAAAGTATTTTTCTATTCATTTTTAGAATAAACTGACATATGGATGTCAATTCTTAGGTGAAACTGCCCCTTAGTTTTCTTTATAATAATAATAATAAAATAATAAATAATATATTAAAAATAATATAAAATTATTTTATTACTACTTTACTCTAAGTGGGTGGCTGAAAAGAATACAAGTAATAGAACAATTTGTTGCTAGGATCTAGATTTTTGTGAAGGTGCCAGTAATTATGCTCAGTGATGTTTTTGGCTTTACATCATTAATGCAAATGTCTACAAGGGGAAAAAGCAAATTCTTTTTATTGTTACCAACCATGCTTTGAGAACCACAGCTTCATAGTAACACATGCAAACACAAATATAAATGTTGGAAATCAATTCATGGAAGGAAACATGACTTGGGCTGTACCGCATTTAAAAAAAATAAAGCTCTACAAAAGTAGCAAGATTTTATGTTGAATTACAATAAAGCAAGGCAGTGAAATATTTTGGTTGTATCCAGACATCACCTTCTTTTCCAGCTTGCCTCATGGGAGAGAACCTTATTTGAGGAATGGGATAGTCAATTAAGAGATCCATAACCATGATCAGTGATAGCTTAAGTGGTCTCATTTATATCCCTGATGCCATAGCTTCGAAATGGTAAAATGAAATATTTGGAGAATAGCTTCACTGTTGAGATGTTTGTAATTTTGAAACACCCTTGGAATATGATTTTAAAGTTAGAGAATATTTAGTAGCAGTCTTCTTTTATTTTTTCAGACAAATATATGTCAACTTCATATAATGGTTCAGCCTGGCGAAAACGAATTCCTTTTTCAAAACCTTATTCAAAAACTGAAAAAATATATCCAGGTAAATATTTACTTTAAGGTATCATGTGATAATGAATGACAAGTTTTTTAAGTTCAAGAAATATTTTAGAGAAAAATTTAAATGAATACAACTTTCAAGATATATATGCACACTTAGTTACTTGGAGTTTTGAAGTTCTCTTGTCTATTAGCAATTTAATTTTACCTTGTTTTATTGTGTTCCTCTTTGCCAATTTTTTTTTTAACTCAGGACCTCATGCATGCTTAGGAAATCACTCTACCACTGATCTACATTTCCACCCTCTCTTTGCCTGTTATCAGAAAAACTTTTGATATAATTATTTTCCTTATCAAAAAGACAAACATATTAAACCATATTGTGGCACAAATAAGAGGCAAAGCCTTGCTATATATCTACCATAGACAAATATAGACTGATTTGGATGACAGGGCATCCAAGATGAATTTTCTCAGCCAGAAGGTGCCAAGTAACTGAGCTTTCCACCTGGTAGTACTTTGTGCTATAGGAGGGAATTGGGGATCCCAGAAACCTCCTCAGGGCAGAGGATTGTAGGAGTCCTGACTTGAGGTTGATCTTTTGTTAAATAGCTTTCTGTCTTTTCCTAGTTTGAAAGGGAGTGGGCAGTAGATTTGGAAAACTACACAGAATAAAATTTCATTACTTCTCAGACAACTGAATCTTTCAAAAAAAATTTCAGACATGGACCTCTCTTACCTATACAAGTATCCCAGAATTTTCAAAATAGTCTGAAATCTATAAGCTCTTTTATTAGTGCTTCCTGGAAGGAACCAGAACACATCCAGAATAGACATTTTCCCTTTCCCAAAGTGATAACTGAACTGTAAGTTCTTGAAAACTTTTTTGACTGCAACTGTGACTCAGTTCTGAGACCTATGTATATATTATACACTGGAAACAACTGTCTTTATTTCCTGCCTATCTTTTCCCAAATTATAATGTTCTGTAAAATAACTCTGTTGCAGGGCTATTTAAGTGACTATATTTTCTTTTAGCTTTGTTTTTCAAGTGATGATGGCATTTAATTTGGGGTGGAGGAAGGAGATAAAGATGAATATCTTGAATGAAATTAGTAATTGTTGAGATACAGCATTTTCTCATCTTGAGTGAAATTAGCAATTGTTGAGAATACAGTATTTTCTCATCTTGAGTGAAATTAGCAATTGTTGAGATACAGCGTTTTCTCCTATGGTTTCCTTCTGAGTGGGAGATATTTGGAATATTAAAGGATGTAGGCTCCCTGACCCCTTTCCAGTTCCAATGAATACTCTTGTATCCCAATTGCTTTCTCCTTACCCATCTCAGATAAACATGAATCATACAAGAATTGGGGGAAGAATCAGAAAGATGTTCTTATTGTTGAGTACAATTGGAGTGGGGGGTTGGTACGCAGCTATAATCTCAATTGATGGTCTTTGCCAGAGAGATCAGTAGAAACCAAGCCCAGCATCACCACCTTGTTAATTAAAGTATGGTCTGAGGACCGACTGTAAGATATCACCTGGGAGCTTGCTAGAAATGTGGAATCTCCATATCAGACCTGTTTTTTCAGAATTTGCATGTTAACAACATCTCCAGTTGATTAGGTACACATTAAAGTTTGCGGAACCTCCATTTAAGACCCAGGCAAGTCAAGCCTATTGAAATTATATTGTCTTCCTAGCTGTCACAGAGCAGCAGACATTTCCCTTTGTCCCAATATCAGAAATTAGTATCAACAGCAAAGAGGTGGGGTAGGGAGGAAACCCTTGAGAAAAAATTTTAAATGTAAGTGTGACTTAATATGAAAATGAAGTGATTAAGAAATCACTTGGGTTGGACTAAATTTTTGTGAAAAGAGCTGGATACATTTTCCACATCAATAAGAATGCAGGGACTTAAGTTTCTAGAAATTAAATGGTTGTCATAAATTAGTTTATAAAGTTAACAATCTATCATAAAATAAATTTTGTTTTCTTATTTGCTTTTGATTGGGAAATAGGTAACTCCAGAACTCATCTTTTCCAATTGTTGTCATTGAAAAAATATGAAGAGAAAGATTAGCTTGTGTTTTTTCCCCCATATGTTCTTGCTAGGGCACAGAACAGCAATTTTAATATTTCCCAGGGGACAGATGGACTGCTAGAGGGAAGGAGGCAGAAAACACAAGCTGCCACCAGTCTGTTCATCTAAGGCTCTGGCAGCCAAGGCCAGAGAAGTGTAAATGGGTGAGAGGAGCCTTTTGGGAAAGTGCTGTTGGATTCTATGAGGACAATGCAGAAGGAGAGGAAATTGTTGAGTGTCTGTGGGAATCAGGGCCAGGAGCTGAAGGCAACCAGAGACATCATTCTCATTGCCAGCTTTCCCTCAAGGCCACAAGTCCTTTCTGATAGGGATATAGCTGGCGTGAATGGCAGTGCCTGTCTCTATATGATGGAATGTTCATTCTGTTCATTGTGAATATCTCAGAGTGCAGACTTATATATAGTATTATCTCCATTCCATTCCTCCTCCCTCTAAATTCAATACTCAGTAAGCACTGAAAAGAAGTTGATGAAGTTTGAATGACATTTTGAAAATTTATGAGTAAAATCAAAAGCTTAATTTTTTTTTTTTGCCTTTAGATTTTATGGTAAGTAATTAGGAAAGGAAATATGATTATTGAAGTCCTGAAAAAGGCTGGAAAAGAAAATAAAATATTTTGTGTATTCTATTATTAGAGCCAAGAAGAAATGGTAGCAAGTAAACTTGGAGGTTGAGAGAAGAGAAAAATGAGAAAAGAGATAAGTGCCAGCCATCATCTGATTTACAATCAACAATGAAAATTCAAAGAATGAGATATTCAAGTACTCCATACTATATACTGGATAGCCAAAGATGATAAAATGCAAATTCTGAAAATAAGATGCAGGAAGTACATTGTGCTCTTTCAAAACTGATAAAAATGCAAATTACAAACAGCTGCCTGTGTATTTATGTAGGTCTGGAATTTATTCAATGCATTACCACAACATTTAATAAAGTTTAAAAGTTTGAGAATTAAAATCATTCTTTAATCATAAATCAAGTTAGATCGTACAGATTGTGGAGTAAAATTATTATGCCTTTGATCTCTATTTTGCAATACTCTTAATGGAAGAAATCTCACATTTTCTTACTTTATCGAAATTTTAAGCTGGGCCCTAAGCAATAATAATACACAAATCATAAACAAATTCAATGAAGCCTCAGGGTTACAGTCTGATGATGAGTACATCTGAGGAATTTCAAAGAATTACACTTTGATGTGTGATAGGAGACAAAGTTGGTTTATTATGCAGGGTAGTTGCTGAACGCCATCTTTTAATTGGTAACTATAAAATATATCTGCTGGGATGTGCTACATTCAAAACTGAAAAATAAATATTTTCCTTTCATGAAAACAAAACAATGGAGAAAAAGACATGTAAAATAACATTTAATACCATGGTGTCCCCAAAGACTTAGTGAAGTTTTAAGACTTCCATAACTCCAGAAGTATAAATGCTTATAAATGCAAAAGTGACTTCATTTGAAAACTTATTTCCATTTATTTTGCATTTTGAATAATAATTGTTTTATTTAGATTTAAAATTTCAGTCAAAATTAACCATCTGCACAGTGACAGAAACAAGAACTAAAAAATTTGTTCCTCAAACTTAAAAAAAGTATGAAAAAAATCTCTATAAGGATTGCTTTCAAGTGATGTTTTTATAATTTTGTGGTGTTATACTGCAGAGTTTCTTAAAGCTTAGAAATTTACTAAGACTTTGTGACAAATATTTATATGCTCATGCAAACTGTGGTTATTGGTATCCCCTTGTTCAATATTTATTGGGGAATTAATGTTCTTAGAAATATTTTATTTTAAAGAATATCTTATAAGATGTAATTCCACCTAGTTTCTGGCTTCTAATGATGTTTCATATGCTTATTTTTAGTAATATTGGATATAATCATTTTGTTTACATGCAGGGTAGATAGAAATATAAACTGTGCCAGCAAATTTGAGAGACATCATGTAATAAAATAGGTAAGTTAAAAAGCTACCTGGATGGAAGCTGATAGGAAGGAGCCATCATATAATCCCCTTTAACAAACAGATCTGTGTCTTCTAAAGCATTAAATATTGCTGAACATGAAAGAGTCCTGAGAAGGCATTCCAAAATATTTTTCTTGAAGCACAGATTCTCAGTGCATGTTTTTACTGCATGCTGAAGAACCATTGGAATGAGAAAAATCTGAAGGGCAGCCTGAATGTGATTATATATATGCTGCTTCTGAATAAATAGAAACTTTCATTCTGATAAACTTTGTGTAAAGGGTCAAGTGGAGCATGGTATTAACCATCTCTGTTTTTATATTTGTGATTAGGAAAAAGGTAATTGGGGCTAAACTATTAACAAAGAAGGAAGAAAATAGCAAATTCCAAAAAAAAAAAAAAAAAAAAAAAAAAAAAGCCAACAGAACCTGTTTGCTGACTCCTGAATATACAAATAGAGCTTTTAAGCTTAAGTTTCATAAAGCCAATGCTGGGTAGTTGCTTTTTTTGGCACATGCAGATGCTTTCGATGACTTTTCACTGGTGGTCTATGATTCCACTCTTCAGAATGCAGCAGTGATAAAAAAAAATTATAACAACATTTATTAGATGCTTAGTATATTATTTGCAAGGGCAAAATACCCCAAAATGAGCATCAAAATGAGTGTCTCCTAGTTTGGGGGGAAGGAAGTCTGACATCAAGGCCTCAGCAGGGTTGATTCATTCTGAGGACTGTGCGCGGAGAATCTGATGTGCTGTAGGCTCCCCTCCTTGGTTTTAAGTAGGGCTGTCTTCTTCCTGTACTACTCCCATTACCTTTCTTCTATGTGTGTCTCTGTGTTCAAATTTCCCCTTTTATAAAGATACAAGCCATATTTTTTGATTTTTTCTAATTAGTTACACCTGACAGTAGAATGCATTTTGATATGTCTACACAAATGGAGTATAACTTCTCATTCTTCTGGTTGTACATGTTGTAGAATCACACCAATCGTGTAATCATATATGTACATAGAGTAATAATGTCCAATTCATTCTATTCTCCTTCTTACTCTCATACCCTCTCCCCTCCTTTTACTCCTCCTGTCTATTTGAGTAGGACTCATTCTAATGACCTCATTTCAACTCAGTTACCTCTTTGAGGACACTATCTCCAAACAAGATGCTAGGGATGAGAACGTCAACACCCACATTTTGAGAGGGACATATGAGGGTGACTTCTGAATACTTCCTGGTAAATGTATAAGTCTTGCAAGTCTTACCTTTTCTTTGCCTTCAGGTAGAAGTGATGGGAGGGGAAGGGAGGGAAAGGGGAGATAGGAAGGGCAGCAGGATAAAATAGACACTAGTATTGCTGTATGTATATACGTGTCTGTATAACCAATGTGATTCTGCAACCTGTACACTGAGAAAAATGAGAAATTATACCCCATTTAATTCAAATGTATGATATGTCAAGATCATTGTATTGTCATGTGCAACTAATAAAAAAAAGAAAGAAAAAGACTGGTGTAGATAACTTCCTATTTGTTTAGGAAGTTAGCAAATAGTTAATTAATAAGTTAATTAACTTCCTGTTTGTTTCTCACATATCCAGATATGCATATTGTGAATATTACACAACATTGTGTTTTCTGACAACCAATGCAAGAAAAAACATGGATAATTTCATGAGAAAATTATACTGTATTAAATAAAAATTTTTATGGAACGACATTCAAAATAGAGCCTACTTTGTGTAAACTTAATTGAAATTCATTCAGCAAGTGTTAAAGGGGCATCCTCTAAGATCAAGCCTTTTGCTAGATGTTACGGAGATAAAGTCTTTTCCTTCTAAATACTTGTAATATAATGAATGATGCAATGTGTAATTTAATAATTTATAATGGTATGTGTGCCATATTGGAGGTATGGAATAGGTAGAATGAGATATCACACCTGAAAATTTAGCTTGACATTGAGTAGTCACCGATTTTGTAAAACTTTTCTTGCTGTGAGCATTCTTCCTTGAGCAGGAATGCTGATTTACAACACTGCATGAGGTGATGGCTAGCCTGACACTGGTACCCCTGTGGGATGAAGGATGAATTGCTAATGATGAATTGCTAGATTTTAAGAAGCAGTTCTTTGCTTCAAAGCAGAAAAATTGTGTTTATGGGTTCCTCAGAAAAAAATGTGTGTGAGAAAGTTAGTTTTGGAGTTGAACTTTTTTACTTGGACATCCACCTGCATTTCATTATGCAATTATATTATGCATAGTGTTTAGCTTAGTTCTTCCATTAAGTTATGGTTATTTCTAAGGAAAGAGCAATGTCTTTTCTTCTTTACATGCCCTGAACCTGGCATATAATAAGCACTTAATACTACTTGAAGGATCTAGTGCCTGTCTCTGAGATTTCTTTCCATTGATCTGATACAGCCTTCAGGCAAAGAATGCAAGTTCATTTCCATGAACCTTGTGTTTTGAGAGACTTGTACTGGGCAAGGATTCCCCAAGATCATGAAAGCATGCTCCTCCGAGTGCGCTAGTACAGGAGATAGGCTGGATTTTATGGTTGAGATCACTGTATGGCCATTTCCTGGGCTATATAGACTTTTCCCCAGGGTAGCTCTCAGACAGTGGCCATGGGGAAGCTGTTGATGAAGGACTGTTCTGCCCTCCATGTACACAGAGTCTGTCCAACCTTGGAACACCGTAAAGAATGAGAAAAGAAGCAAGAAGGTGGATACTTCATTCCAGGAAACTGAGGCTTGTCATGCTTCTAGTTTCTAGTGTAAAATTGTGAGTAGTTCTAAATTCTAAAATCAAACCTGGTCTTATATCATTTTGTAGGTGTATTTGTTAGCATGATTTATAACTTTTAAATATTTAGATATATGGTTTAGAATCAAATATAGGGTCATAGAATCGATCTTGCTCTGAGCTTTGCAAGTAATGGTGGTTGATCCAGTGATCCCAATGCTCATCTTGTCCTGTTAATTCTGTTAACACTTGGTATTTTAACACAGACTGATTTTGGTTTTCCTTTTCATTCAAATCTTGTGCAGGCCAGAAAAGATCATACTAGCTATATGTCTGGGCTTTTGCTAGGGATTTGTCCTCACAGTAAAGGGGCTTGGCTGAGAAGGAAGGGGGCAGTATAAGTAAAATTTTTTAGAATGTTTCAGGTGGAAAATGTAGCATATAAGTGTATAATCTTTAGATAATTCCCAATTCCTGATTCTGCAACTCTTTAGGCAATACAGAGGGTTATTGTAATATGGGACTGTTGGGTTATTAAGGAAGCCTTGGGAAAGCCATTGGGTTTGGGCATCATTTTGTGAGAAGTAATGGAGGCCATGAACTTTGCTTTTGACCAAAGAACAATTTGGAAGACTCATTCAAATGTGTTTAGTATGTTTTCTAATCTCCAATGTTAAATCTAATCTAGATTAGATTTTTAAGCTCATACTGTATTAGTACTAGAAGATATTAAGTAGTAATTTTCCCCTCAAGTATTTTCATACTACTTTCTTCTGGTATCACATTACCATCTCTGAGACTTCTTTCCTTTGATCCAACTAGTATAGTTCTTAGGTCAGGAATGCATGAACCCTGAGTTTTGGGAGATTTGAACTGGGAAATAATTCCACAGGACCATGGATACATGCTCCTCCTTCTAGGGCTGTAGTGCCTGGGAGGCTTGGAGAGGGAAGAGAGAGAAGAGAGAAGAGAGAAGAGAGGAGAGAGAGAGAGAGAGAGAGAGAGAGAGAGCGAGAGCGCACGTTTGAGTGAGAGAAAGAAGGACAGAGAGAGATGATTACTACATAAATTTGTAGGGTATAGATAGATAGATAGATAGAACTTAGTTTCTGACACATAATAACTACTCAATAATTTTAGCCTTTATGAAAATATAATTAATTGTTAAAGAATTAAAATATAGACATGTTTCTAACAGAATGGAAACTATACATTCAGAAAAATCTTTCCTGGAAA